TCTCTTTCTCTTGTTTGTTCTTTCTAATATCATTCTATAATTTGTTATATTTCTTGAATAATTTGAATATTTTGTCAATATAGATTTGATAAGATTACCTTTTTACAAATATTATCCTAATTATTAATAATATCTACATTATGAAAACACACAAGTAAAAATGTCCCAAGTGATTCATAGTTATGTTAACTGTATTATTGATTTTTAGTAATCATTCTAAAATAATAATACTTTTTAGGAATGCATATTATCTTCTGATTCTATTTCAATTACTAGCAAGAATCAAGATGATTTTGTTTAATCTTTCTTCAATTAATATTTTATTTGAACATTATTTTCATGTAACTTCTTATTTGTTTTATATACATTCATCAATTGTCAAATCGCATATGAATGTATCTCTTCTTCAGTTATGAAGCACTCATCATTCAGATAGTATTTTCATATGATGTTTATACTAGTAATTCTATTATCCTGCATTATCTCAAGAATTTTATTGTATATTTACTTTATAGTTTCCATTCATTTTCTTATCTTTTCTTTTTCTTTCAACATTAGGTAAATTCATACTTAAGGTTGCTTGTCTAAACTCATTTTAGATTTGCCAAAATGGTAAAACCTTTAGTTTCGCTAAATTTTTACTAAGTGTTTGATATAGTTTCACCATTTTTATAAGCTTTGATATAGTTTTACCTTTTTCCAAATTTCGCAGATTTTTTAATAAGGTTTTAATATAATTTAACCAAGTTTTACTTTTACCATTTAGACATCTGTCTAAACTCTTAATTTCGTCCAGTAACCTTATTCATACTTTTCATATTTTTAATCTCTTTTCATGATTTTTGATTCTTAAATAATCTGAACCTATTGTGTCTTACTTTAAAGATAATAATGATTGATAATAGCTTCTTAGCAAACTTACTAGATTTAATATTATCAATATTGATATCTGAACTGAGTAGTATTAGCATATGATATCATATGATCTATATGATTTATATAACTTAGTCATAAGTTATTTATCATTTCGAAAGGTATATTTTATGACTTATAGCTTTATTATATAACTTAATTCAGGTTGGCATTATAAAATATAATTTTCATAAAAGATAATTCATAATATACAAAATCTTAAAATATCAATTTTTAGATTTAAAACATATTACATAAAATTTATTATGTAATATTATACAACCTAATTAAGGTAAATTAGTGCTTCATAATGTTCATAATGTTAGCTAAAATTAGATAAATCACATGATTTTTATATGATTTTATAATAATATGATATAATATTATATAAAAATATTTTTAGTAAAATCATATTACAGATTATATGATTTACTATATCTCATAACTTGATTTTATTAGAAACATTTTTATATGATATTATAATCATATAATCTAAAAAATTTTGATATAATCATATCATTTATCAATATTAGAACTAAATATCATAATCTTTATATTATACTTAATAAAAAATCTATTTAATCAGTTTAAAAGTGAAACAACAAAGCTAGTCTTTACAAATAATCATCTTTCTCAATATTTTCTCAATATAAATTTTTTTAAAATAGATGTTATTAATTGAAATAACTTTTGACTTAATAAATATATTTTGATAAATACAATTATTAAAACTATCTTATCAAAATCTTTTTAATAAATATAAATTTAAAGTTATTAGACCAATAGAAGCAGTGATAATTTGAAAAGAATAACTACTATTATAACTCTATAGATCATTATTAAAGAAAGCCATAATTTCTTAAGCTGTAGCCTGATGATTAAAATAACTAAAACTTCTGAAATAATAATATTATTATTAATTAATTTTATATAGTTATTTAAATTTAATGAGTTTTTTTTATTTACTGAGTAAAATTAGTTAAATTAGTTAACATAGTTAATAAAATTTATAATGTTTTTTTAGTTTTAATAATTACTTTATTTTTAGAAGTAAATCAAATATTTTATATAAATAGAATAGGAAATTGCTATAGTAAAAAAATATTTAGTTAAGATTTAGTTTAAGTTAATTAGAGAATTAATTGTGAAATTCATATTTTAATAAATTTATGAATAAAAATTTATTTAATTTATTAAATTATATCAATCTACTTATATTTTATTAATAAACTAAATTTTATTTCTATAATATTGATCTGTTAAACTTATGACTTAAAACCTAACCTATCATTATTACTCTTCTTATATATTCAAATATTTTCAATTATATTTATATATTCTCAACATTCCTTATGCTTATAAATTAATATACTATTAATTCAATAGTTTTATTAAAATGAACAAGTTCTTAAGATTATTAAGTTAAATTATTATTCTTCAAATACCTATAATCTTACTATATATATTGTTACCCAACTATTGATTAGGCAGACTGAAACACGTAATCAATTAAGTAGCAGCAAGATTTAGCTCAATCTTTATTAAGTTTTAGGAGAGACTTTGGTTAATTCGGGCTATTGTTAACTTTAGTATTCTTTCACGATTAAGTTTCAAAATTGGCAAGTATAATGACTTTTAATTTACCACATACACTACCTGGAAATAAGTTTGTGCAATTTTTTAAAAAAATAGTTTATTATCTTTTTTTTCTAACAAAAAATAGTTTATTATCGTTTTTTCTAATAAAATTAATGACTACCTAATCGCTATGCAATAGTCCTTTAACTATAATATATATATATTTGAAGAGATGTAGAGAATATAATTATATTGTTCTTAAACTATTCTTACATCTTTATACTTAGCCTTTGACTAGTTCTTCTTAAAGTTCCTATTTGGAATTTTTAGTTTAGAAGGTTATATGTGTCATCATAAGCTAATGATCTATTACTTCATTTCTTCATTAACTGATCTGGTTAATTTCACAGATCACTTTTGCAGATCATTGTGTCATTGATTTTGTAGATCAATTCACATGATGATCATTTGTAGATCACTTTTACTGTATCACATTTTCAATTCTTGATCATTTGGATTACAATGTTAAAGTTTATTTTTCAGTCAATAAATTTTGCAACTGACTTGTATAACAATGTAAAACTCTTGTGTTTCTAGTTAAGATCTGATCTGACATCCTTTATGAGTTTATAGTCTGAATATTTTTATCTAAGATCCTTTTCTTTTATTTATCCTTTTTTAATTTTCAAATATTTTTTTCACATTCATTATAGAATACACCTGATTTTCTGATACTCAATATCTTTTCTCAATATTTCATGTATTTTTGCACTCCTCACTATTATTTTTCAAAAAAAAAATTTACTTAAACATGTGAAAACTGAACTTATTTATAACATATATATCACATACTGCTTAAAGATAATTCTTATAATTATTTTTAAAATTTTTAACTAGTTGTAACTTAAGTTGCAATACTTTAAGTTGCAACATTTTATGAATTTTTATATTAAAATAAATTTACAAGGAGTTACAACCAAGTTGCAACTCAAGTTGCAACTAACTGAATTATAACTTCTTAATTATAATGCCTATCTTTAGTACTGCTAATCATTTGTCTTTTTAGATTCTTAAGTTTTAAAGTCAAGTAATCAAAGAAACTAAAAAAAAATATTATAAAATATTTCAATTTGTAATTTTTAAATTGAATTTTTTATTCTAAATAAAACATTTAAAATGTTTAAACAACTTATTTTATAAATTTGAAATAAATTTTTCATTAAATAAGATGATCATGTCTAATTATATCCTATAATTATAATTGTTGTGGAAGTTACAATATACTATGTTAAATATGCTAAGCTATTCTTATCATGTGATTGATAAGTTATGTGTAACCTAAGATCTCTCATAATCTCCACCCTTTAAAATATTAGTTAAGATATGTCATCACTTTGAAAAAACTTAGATTATATCCAATAATATTGTCTAATATTTTTTAACATATTAATTATATTTTGTTAAAATATTATATTTTTATTACATTTTTAACATGTTATATGATAATACATTTATATATGAAGTGCAGTCAGATCTGAAAGTAACAGTTAATTTTATACAGTATTATAATACACAAATTTACATTATTTATACCTTTTTTTTTATTTTTAAATTTTTTCTTATAATTTTATAATAATAAATATATTGCAAAGTTAAAAAATAATGTTATATAGAACTGAATTAACTTCTCAAGATAAAGGAAAAATACTAGCATATATAAAGAATTTTAATCCTGTATAAATAGAGGTTGTAACTCTATCACAATAAGAAGAATTATTAATAGATACAAGAAGATAAGGAAAACTGAAATTTACCTAGATCAGGATGTCTACCTGCTCTCAATAATAATGAAAAAAATGCATTCATAATGAAGTTACATAAGATTAACACGTATCTTTACATAAAATCATTAATACACTAGGTTTAAATTGCAGTATTACAACTGCTAAAAGAACATTACATAATGTTAAAATTTATTCTCATATTACTGCAAAAAAACTTTTATTTTAGCAAAGTAAGCATAAGCTTGTATTAGCTGTTTTGAGAAATATAAAAAAAAAAACTTATGATTGGATATAAGCTATTTTCTTAGATGAATCAAGCATTGAGATTAATAAGCAGTCATAACAAATAAGAGTTTAAAGACATATATGTGGAAGGTTTAACACTGAATGCTTGACATTTATCTTTTAAATGATCAAAAATCAGTCATGATGAGAATATTTTACAGGAAAAATAAAAGAGTCATTAATTTTTTGTGATGAAAATAAAGAAGGAAATGAAAAAATCAATTCAAATACTTACATTAGATTCCTAAATTCATATCTATATTCATTTCAGCATAAGTTCATGCATTAACAGGGAGGACTTGCAATTTTTCAACAGGATAATGCATCCATTCATGTCACGAAAATAACCAAGAATTGGTTAAAAAAGAATAAAATTGTGGTTATTGATTGGCCGGTAAATTCTTTCAACCTAAATCCAATAGAAAAAACATCTGGAAGCAGTTAAAGGACAATATCCAGAGTTGTAAGGTCTTTTTAAGAACTGTGTGTGAACTTAAAGTTGCACTAAATGAAGAAGGGAAAACTTGGATTGCTTCATTTTTGAAGAAGTTGTTGCTTCAATACCACAAAGAATAAATGCAGCAAGGGGAGGGCCAACACATTTTTGCAGTGTTGTACATGGACGTTGTCCCGGTGATTTTTGGCAGACACAGAACGTCCAAAAGTCCATGTCCAGGACTGTGTCTGCAGGACAGTTGGGACATGGACCGATATTAGATATCTTTTGGTCAGAATTAACAAGATCTATGGCCAGCATTAATGCGAACAAAAAGTCCTGGACATAAAAAAATCTCGGACATGGACACGGACAGTCCGGTCCGGTCCGGTCTGGTCCATGTCCGTGTCCGTGTCCGCGTCCCATGACAACACTGATTTTTGGTAATTGTTTTTATGTGAATTTTAATGTCACTTTCGGTACATATTTATAATTATATTGATCATATACAGTCAACTCTCTATAAATGCATTCTATGCACCCTTTATTTATTATTTTAATTATTTTATATAATAAAAGCCGCTCCGACAGTTCGGATGCAACTTTTTATCATTATTTTATATTATAATGCTGCGTCCGACAGTTCGGTGCGACTTTTTATCATTATTTTATATAATAAAAGCCGCGTCCGATAGTTCGGGGTGCGACATTATATTATCATTTTATATAATAAAAGCGCTCCGATAGTTCGGATACGACTTTTTATTATTATTTTATATAATAAAAGCCGTCTCCGACAGTTCGGATGCGACATTTATTAGCGAACAGGTATTTTATCTTATAATCCAAAAGGCCATCACTGTCGACAATGATGTAATGATGATTATTCAATATTCTTTGTCATTAATAATCAGTAACAATCAGTAAAATATACAAAATTCACAGACACAAGCATGGGCGCCCGGTGCTTGATAATCATTCATCGATTAGCAAATAAACTACTTAAGTTTATTTACTTAAACTATTTGGTTTCCGGCAGACCTTTAAAGAGGACATATTTGTTTTCTTCTGAATGCATTTATCTACAAAAATTTGGCGAAAGTTTTGATTTCAATTAGTAACTTCATCAATGATTCCTTAAAATGTGAAGACGCAGACATTGAGAAATGACGGCATTGTCACCTATCTATTTCGTTTAAATAAATGCACCTTAAAAAAGTTTCCATTCAAAAAAAAAAGGAATTAGGCGATAATTAGGCATTGAAAACGCGGGATTCTTCTGTTTATCATGGCGATTGTTTCTTTTTATTTCTTCATTATTGGTACTAAGTCAAATTCGGAATTTTGCAATCAAAAAATTCCCCGCAAAAAATTTATAAATAGTAAGTTACACGAATTGTATTTTTACTGCGGTTGATAAGATAAATCAGAAAAAAAAAAATTTTTTTTTAGTTCCCCAAAACCCTCTTACAAATTAATTTGATAATTTTTTAATCTTCCCCCCCCCCCCCCGCGAGTAGACGTAAAAAATGCCAAAAAGAGTAAATTATTCATTTATTCCTTCCTTCATTTATTTTTTTAACAAAATAAAAAATGATTTTATTTTAAAATGTTTGTTGATAGATTTACAAATTTCTCCCTCCAAAAAAAAAAAATGTAGAAAAAGAGAAAAACTCATGTTAATCCTGATGAAAGAACAGATAATCCTGATGGATCAAAAATACCAAAAAGTTTTGTATTTAAATCGGGCGATGTAGGAAAGACTGTTGAAGCATTAGTTAGAGATATGAGAAGAGTTATGGAACCGCATACTGCAATACGATTAAAAGTAATTATTCTCAATATTATGATGTTCCTATAAAAAAAAAACAGTCGCTTATCAAACAACTAATCTTCAATTAAATAGGAACGAAAATCAAATCGATTAAAAGATTTCGTAGCGGTAGCGGGCCAATTGGGTGTGACACAATTTTTAATATTTACACGAACGGAGAATGGAACTAATTTTAGATTAACAAAAACTCCAAGAGGGCCAACCTTGTGCTTTAGAGCATTAAAATATTCTTTAATCAGAGATGTTTTATCATCTCAAATAAATCCAATAAGTTTTGGATCGGAATTCCTTACTTCTCCATTGGTGAGTAATTTAAATTTTTTTTTATTATAATTGTTAAAACATTAATTATTTGTTTAATTTTTTTTATTTTCGTTTTAAGCTTGTATTAAATAACTTTGGTGGTGAAGAAAAACAAATGAAATTAATGACGACTATGTTTCAAAGCATGTTTCCTTCTATAAATGTCAACAAGGTAATTAATTTCATTTTTGCATTCTTGGGTTTTTAAATGTTGTAATAGAATTTATCTTAACCCCCATTGATTTAATTAGGTTCAATTAACAGATGCCCGTAGAGTTGTATTGTTTAATTATAATAGTGAAACGAATACAATCGATTTTAGACATTATATTATAAGAGTGAAACCAATAGGAATTAGTAAAAGTGTACGAAGAATAATAAACTCTAATGTGCCAGATTTACACGAATATCATGATATTAGCGAATTCGTATTGAGGTGATATATGATTTTTATATATTTACATATGTAAGGATTCTTATTAACGATTTAAAAATTTTTTTTTATATATTTAGGGAAGGGTATTTTTCAGAAAGTGAAGCTGAAAGTGGATTTGAAACCACAGTAACGTTGGCGCAAGACTTTGTCGGTAAGATTAATAAGAAAGCTGATCAACGTGCCATAAAGTTAGTTGAAGTTGGACCAAGAATGGAATTACAATTGGTCAAAATTCAAAGTGGATTTTGTGATGGAGAAGTTTTATTTCACGAATTCTGTAAGTAATTTATGACCATTTATCCGAAAATATTTAAATATTTAATTAATTATAAATCCTGTTTATTAGTTAAGAAAACGCCTGCAGAAATAAGAAAGATTGAACGTGAAAGACAACAAAAGAAACAACAAGCTGCTTTAAGACGAAAAGAACAAGAAAAAAATGTTGAAAGGAAGAAAGCAGAAAAAGAAGCTCATAGATTAGCCACGCAAAAAAATGGTAATTTAATTTTCATATTTCAATTTACATTTTTGGCTTGATTTTTAATAAATTTGTTTTTTTAAGGGAAAAATCTGGATGATGATGAAGAAGACAGCGATGAAATTGACAGTTCTGAGGAAGATCAGCAACAACCATCATCTGCAGATGAGATGGATAGTGATGATATTGAACCAAGAGAACACGATGGAAATTTGTCAACAGAAGAAGAAAATGATGATGATGATGACGATGACGATGACGATGACGATGATGACGTACTTTTTAAAGAAGCGGATAATGATGATAATTATTTGGACGATGAATTTTCAGATTTTGAGAATTCTGATCATATTAAGATAGATAAAATGGAATATCTTGAAGAAGAAAGTGAAAACGAAAAAACTATTTCGTTTAAGAAGATAAAAAGTGTTAAGCATAATTCAAATAATAATCAGAGAAAAAATAAAATCAAAAATGCATCTAAAGGCAAACCTAAATTTTCAATGAAAGTTGGGTTTAAATAAAAAAAAGAACGCTATAATTTTATAATTTGACAAATTTTATATATGTTTTACTTTATTCGGCTTACAAATATATAGTATGTAAATTTACCGATAAGAATTTTTTAATTAATACCGGGATATTTCGAGCAAAACTGACCAACATAATATGACATTTAAGGGGACCCTTTCAAAATTACATTGAATTTAGTAAAGTTATTTTTTCATTCCAAGCCATTTGAAACTTTGCGCATTATCGTACCGGCGATAACAATAACGCAGAAAAATTAAGCAATTAATTTCTTGTATATGAGGTGAAATATAACTATGTGAGAACTTATTTTCAGTGTGGTATTTAATATTAAAAAAAAAAAAAAAGAAAAGAGAATAGTAAAATAAATGCGCCTATTTTTAATTAATCAACATGATACCAAAAGGCGTTATCTATTAAACATTTGGTAAAAAAGATTATACATTAATTAAAACTCGATACATATGGTAAAAATACAATCCAAATGTCCGAGCATATGCAGAGCCAACTTTGCCCATATAATGCTTGAGCGATTAAAATTCAAGGAAATAATTTATTATTTCAACAAATGGCGAAAACTTTTGTTACAATTTTATTATTTTATTACAATTAATATCTTATGGAACTGAATTAATATAGTGAATGACTTTTAACACTTCAATTCCTATTTGTGCAAGTCGATTATACTGATACCTACGCAAAATATAATATTTATTGCCATTGTATACATATATCGAGACTTTGTTTCCTTCTTTTAAGTTCAAAGTGTGAATTAAGGCCAAATGACAATTCGAAGCCAGAAAATTTTCTTCATTTTCCAGCAGAAATATCAATGATACGATTGACTGAGGGAAGAGGTTTCAATTTTTATTCCTTACTCAATAAAATTTTGCGAGGCTGAATTCTACCGACTGATTTCTACAGAAACAGTCACGATGTAACATTTTGTGACTAGTTAAATAACAAGTTCTCCCACAGTTTATATGTAACTTCAAAAATCAATACCTCTTCCTTTAAATTCCTTTCGTTTTTGTAACTTCCTTTAAATTTCATTTTTTTATTAACTAAAAAAAATCAATTTAAACATCATACTCTTTTGTTTTTTAACTACAAAAAATCAATACATCTTCCTGTAATTATCATTAACACAATAAAATTTGTGTAATGAAATAAAATTTTAACATTTGCTAAAGCAAATATATATTCGCTTTTAGTAATATGACAACTAATAAACCATCTAAATAGACTAATTTAAAAGAAAATACAAGACCAACAAAATACAAAAAAAATTAATGCAGATAATTGTAAATTTTATAATGTTTTACAGATTAAATTAATATATTATAAAATAAATTTTATTTTTTATTTATTAATTAGATATATGAGCGATTTTTTTTTATCTGCGGCTAAATCTTATTTAGTAAACTGTAGAAATCACGTTTCAACCAATTTACCACATCAATTATGTTCATTAATCAAATATTTTTTGCTTCAAATTACGGTTATCTTCTATGATTGAATTATTTTATGATTGCAAAAAAAAACAAAGAATACTTCAATGGAACTTTGATGATAATACAAAATTTTTATTAAACAACAATTCTCCAATACTGAAAATTAGCATTACAATGCTAATGTTATTATATGAAGATTTTTATACATTATTAGATAATCTAGATCTATTAGAAGGGATGATGAATGGAGAAAAAACTTGGTCAACTTATCTTCCATTACTTTATCATATAAATCAAATTATTGAGTATCATCCAAATGTTAAAGGTCTTTATTTATTTGATATTGTTCCACAACATAATTATGGAACTTGTTATATGCTTATTAAGACAAATCATTTATGATATATCAAAGCGTGCTGGTAATAATCTAGTTGTAGGAATTTCAAAAACACAATTTGAAGATTCTGTAAGAAGTAATTGGGCTCAGATTTTTAATATACTAAAAGGTTTTGATATCATTGAAACAGACTTAGTTGGTATTTGTATTTCAATAAAAGGAATGATGATGATTATAGTATTGTGAATTTAACTGAAAAAAACAGTTATTGAGTAGGAGGGATCTATGTGTAACTGTTGATAATGAAAGGGTTGTACAAATTGGTACAAAACAATATCATCATATAGCAAACTTTATCGTAAACAAAAAAGTGGGTATTTTATAATTATTAATATTCTTATTTGTTGTTTTTAGTATGCTAATTTATTGGTTATTCAACAATCTTCCTACTTCTCGCACATGCTCAAGCAGGTAGCTTCTCTTCTTCTTCGCGAGGACATGCATCAGGTCCTATAAAACAACTTTTTGCGAAACTTAAGAGACGTTGCTGCACTAGGCTTGTTCTGAATTTCGAACCTCACAAGTGAGTATTTATTTTTTTTTTTACAGATTTGCTCCCGATGTAAAGATAGATTTAAATATCCACAACGTTATTATGCTTTGAAAGTTTGCAGATCGAATTGTCTAATTCTTTGGAATAGGGGATGTTTTTAAACATGTGTAATAATGATGGATGTAGACCGCATATTTTACTAGAAATAATGTGGTTACTCATCGAACTTTAGTGAGGAATTACCTAGTTCTCAAAAGGTGGGTAACCTATGAGAATAATGATGGTAATCCTATGAAACTATAGTTATCTCAGTATTTTTTATATTGGGTCAAGACTAAGTTGTTTTTTAGTTTTGAAAAGCGTTATAAGTATGATGTTTTTAATTTCATAATAAAAAATTAGTATCACTTCACAATAGTCCCTGCGCACGATGTTACACATTACGTAAATTACCTGAAAATCGTAAATGAATTAAAGTGATCGACTGGAGGATCAACCTATTTTCATTTCTTTTCTAGTAATGAATTTTTCTATATTATAAATCATTAATGGAAACGCATTGGAAAAAATTATTATGGAGTCCTATACATATAGCAAAAGCGAAAATGGACTATCATAGTAAACATCCTATGGATTTATGTTTTAATGCTGGTGAAATCATCAAAGTTCTTGGCATTGGTAATGATTAAAGAAATTTATTTAATTAATTTATGATCGAATTAAATTATATATAAATCTTTATCTTTAGAGAATGAAGATTGGTGGAATGGAAGTATACCAAACACAGAAAGGACTGGAGGTTGTAAATTTGGCTCTTTTCCAAAAATATTTGTAGAAGTTGTAGAATCCGATAGCGATTATCAACAACAAAAAATTACTATTTCTTCTATAAGAAATAATATTAATATTAATTCAAAACCTAGTTTGCCTCCAAGAAAACAGTCAACAATAATTTCATATGACAACTCTTCTATTTCTAAGAATAATAAAAAATCCGATATATTCAGTAAACTACCGGAAATACTGAACAAATTACCGGAACTATCTCAATCTAACAGTTATTCAACGAATAATTCTTCGCGTGAGAGTGTAACTGAAAGATCTGTTACGCCGACTTTTATTGATCACAATAATTATAATGACGAATCTTATGAAAAATTCGAAGAACTAACGAATCCTGTCAGGTATCTATTTATTTATAAAGTACTTTTAATTAAATAATAATAATAAAATAATAATTTCCTGCAATAAAGTCTATGTGAACCAGTTATTACAGATGATTTTGAAGGCTTCTTTGATGCATCGGGTATATATATTAATCGACATCAGTTTTGTTGAATTACATAACAATACTAATGTTTGATATTATTTTTAGTTGTTGATTTTTCAATTATCGATGAATACGCGCGAGAAACTCCAGAATTAGAAACAAAAACGATAAAAAGATTGTCTCATTATCTTACATCTGTGTGGGACCACCCTTTATATAAGTTACGAGCAATATTTGTATGGGTTACAGATAATATATCTTATGACTGTGAATCATTTTATTCAGGTATCGTGTTGATTTTATTTGGTTTCAACAAAAAGTTTTCATTTATGATAAACCCATTCCCATCTGTTTCTTAGGACGGCGGACTGCTAATGGTGCGAAAGATGTATTAAAGAGTAGAATGGCCGTGTGTGCCGGTTATTCGGAGCTGTTCTATGAGTTATCAAATGCAGCTGGAATAAATGTAATGAAGGTTAATGGATTCGCTAAAGGTAATTATATTATCTGAATCAAGATTAAACCAATTTTTTATTTTTTTTATCTTATTTTTTTGTTTTAACCTTTCTCTTTTTATAGGTGCCGGATATCAAGTTGGAGATGATGTTTCGAGCTATGGACACGCATGGAACGCTATATTATATGAAGGAGAATATTTGTTGATAGATAGTACATGGGGAGCTGGACATGTTAATAATAAACAATTTAATAAACTTTTTAACCCATTTTATTTCATGTGTTCTCCAATGAAAATGATATATAATCATTTACCAACAAATCCCAAACAACAATATTTACAACCAACAATTTCATCTGAGGAATTTCTGAACTTACCTTTTATTAAACCTCAATATTTTGAAAACGAAATAAATTTTACAAAATGGCCTGGTTGTATAGCTGAAACATCAAAAGATAAAATATCTTTGGAATTTGAACAAGCAATGGTCGAAAAAAATGTTGGTCATTATTCTGCTAAACTGGATTGGAAAGGACAAAGTATTTTGGCTGTTGTACAAAGGTTAACGCGATTAAGTCCCAATGGAGGAATATTATATAGGATATTATGTAATATTCCTAGTAAAGGGGATGGAAATCTCTCCTTATTTTATTTCCCTCATGGATCAAACCAGGTAAATATAACAAATCGATATTTTAACGTCTGACATTTTTATTTATGAGTTAAATTTAATTTTTTATAGGGTTCGGCTGTAACAACTTTAAAAGTGGTAAATTATGGAACAGGAACAAATTACAAACCATTTGTACTTATATATAATCAACTTTCACTTACAATTATGACTCCATTAGAACAGACACTTGAATACAACACAAAAGTTAGATTTGAAGTTAATGTATTTGGAGAGAATCCTACTCCAAAATTATTAGTATATGAACAATCATTTAAAACAAAAAAATATTTAAAAATAATTGATAAAAATGATGATCAAGATTATGTTACCTTTGTTGGAGATGTTGTAATAAATGAGAAAGGAAATTGGAATTTAGCTTATGAAAGTAGTAAAAATTATTATAGCTATATTGCTACATATGAAGTCTAATAATTGTAAGATTTTTATATGATATTTTTCTCTTGATCTTTTATAAGTCATTTTAATTTTTTGTTTATACAAATTTATATAAATATACATATGTTTTATATTATATTTAAAAAACATATATTTTTAAGTGTTGTATTTTTTTTAATTGTTAAAAAGGTATAAGCTTTATTTAATTAATTAGTTAATTTCATAAATGATTTAAATATTTGATAGGAATCATGATAAATTTATGTTAAAATCTGTATTAGTAGCCCACTTTCTTACCTTTTATGGTAATAAAATATTTATACAAAATGATGATTATAGACCTACAATTATTAGGTTCTATCTTTTTTGGTTACAATCTATATTGCAATCAGTTGCAGAATTTTAAATATAAAAATTATAATATAAAAGTTTACAACTAGTTGTAACTTTTTAGATTGTAATTTAAGTTCAGATTTTTCAAATCTATTGCAATACTATCTTTAATTATGATGATATTTTTGATATTGATATTAAATTAAATTACAATTTAAAATAATATATCCTTATTAATCAATAATAATAAAGACATTTATTTTATTATTATTCTTAAAAATAGTATAAAAAAGAGAAAATAATCAATTCATATATTCTCTATTGATTCACTTCTTCAAGAATTATTTTATAATTTCTGCATGTTTCTCATATCAATAATATTGGTTTTACACATCCAAATTTCTAACAAATCATAATATAATATAAAACATTGACCTTAATGTCTCAATTATAAAAAAAGTATTTATGATAAAAAATGATAATATCTATTTTTAATATCATTATATTATCTTAAACAATAATTTTAGCTTAATTTTAGATTTTTGTAATAAATATATTTTAAATAATCAAATAATATTTAGACTTTTAATATATTAAAAAAAAATTTATTACTTGTTCAAGAATCTTGTATTAAAAATTAAACCTATTATAATAAAAATTGGTAGAAATTGTTATTTTTTTTCTTTTATATGTTATATGAAATAGCATTCTTTACTCTTAATTTTAATATAATTTAACCAATCCAATTTTTACTTATTCTAATTTTTTTTTTGATTTATTTTATTATTATGACAAGAATTTTATTGATAAACTAATATTACTATTTTTCAATTTTTCTTCTACTACTATCTTACAATTTTATGCAAATAATCTACTTATTAACTTAAATATCTTATCTATTGATGTAGAGATTATCTGAATGCAAACCAATCCTTTATGATTTATTATTACTTTTAATTTCACCTTTCTTCTTAATTTATCTTTCTAAACTTATTGCTATATTAGTTGCTATATATACTTTCTCATAATCATCTTCTATTAAAGTTTATACTGATTTATAAATATCATTAATAATTACTCTAGGTTTAATTATTATAACAAGTTCTTGCTTATAAGAAATCCAATTTTTAATATTTTTTACTTTTTCCTTTAGTTTACTTCCTTGCATTTAATTTAAAAAAATTCTTTGACTATTTTATTTAAAAAATTAAAGAATTTTTACAAAATATATTTAATAATAAAATAGATATTTTACAAAGAAAAATAATCTACCTTTTACTTTTGATTTTTGATTTTAACTTAACTCAAATTACTCTTTAATATTTCAAGATATAATAACTATTATAATATCATCTAAATATTTTATTAAAACATTTTTAAAAGTCACTTATTTTTATAAGATTTTGACTATTTCACAATTTATTAAATATAATTACTACTCTATTAATTGGATCATAAAAACTTTTATATTTAATAATAATAAATTCTATTTTATAATATTGTATTAAACCTTTAAATAAAAATACAAGTTTATATTAAAACTGTTTGAAATTCTTAAAATTTAATATTTAATATTATTTTTTAAAAATCTTTATTGTTAATAATAGAATAAAACTTTGATTATATATAGCTTTGTTTATTGTTATTTTAATAAATTTATACTTAAATTAATTCTATTTATTAACTTTTATTTTCACAACTTGATAAATTAAAATAATTAACAGTATGTTTTCTATTTAGAATCTAAATTCATATGAATCTAACTTTTTATTTCATTGATATTATCAAGGGTAAAGATGGTTCAGCGATTAATTTTAAATTTATAATTTATTGTAACATAAACTAAAACTAGTTACAATATATGTTATAATATTATAAATTATAATATATATAGGTTAAAACTAATTATAACATATATTATAATATTAAAAGGTTATAATATATTAATTATAGTTCTCAATTTTAATCAAAGATCTTATTTCAGAGAAAGTTTATAACCAAATATTTAATATCTTAATTAATAATATATATTTTTGTCTTTCTATTCATGATGTATCATTATATATACAAATAAATCTTATCTATATAATAGAAATAATTCTATCATCAAAACAACTAAAATGTTATTTAAATATTATTTTATCTATAATAAAGCAAATTTTATTACTACAGGTTCTTTCTTTTTATTTTCTTCTTATATCTTCATTCTATCATCTTTTATTTAGATTTGATAAGCAATAGTTAGATTTTTGATAAGTTAGTTACCAGATCTTTTGTAACTCCTTATATTGGATAGTTAAGTCTCTGAGATATTGCAAAATTGGTTTTGATCTAATATAGTAATATATTAGATAAAAATTTTTGTATTTTCTATCTTTATTTAATTTTATATAAAGTTACTTTCAATTTAATAAATTATGATAAGTTAAAAAAAATATAAAGAATAGGAATTGATTGGAGTATATTTCTTAAGATTTATCATATTTAACTACAGTAAATTTATGAAGAATATTTTAAAGGATATAATACTTACATGAAATGATGTATATTTTTATTGATATAATAAAAAGTTAATTAGATAGATAAAAAATGGAAATAACAAAGATAGGTTTATATTTAGAAAGTATTTATTCTATTATTTAATCAAAGTGAAATTAATCGTATAAGTAATTATTCAATAATGAAAAAAAACTTTTTTTTAATTATTTAGTTTTTTTTTATTTGTCAATGTCCATATAATCAATGCCATCTTCTTTTCTATCATTAGCTAAACATTCAATAACCCATTTCTTTGCTTCTATAGTCACATTATAGCATAAAGCTCTCCCTATAATTTTTTTCACCAAGTTGTCATCAAATTCATCATCATAAATAATCATCTCAAACAACATTCTAATTATTTCCTGATACATTTCGGTTACATTATGATTCATTGTGTAAAGAACATCTAAATTATCGGTTAAAGAAGGATGGTAGTTATACTGTATTTCTATTGGATGTGATATATTATCCATGATAGCTAAAGTCTTTAATTGAATTTCACACTTTTCAAGAAAGGGAATAATAATTGAGGCATGATATGACGATAAAATATTATTAGGAGCAAGAGATATTAATGTTAAGTAATGAAAAACTCTAAGAATTGAATTTAAATAATTGAGTGCCCAAGATAATGTTTCCTTTTTAACAAGGTTAATATCCTCTATTTTGAATGAATAATAAATATAAATGAAAAATGGAAATAAAAAAAATAAAAAACAAAATCAAATAATATGAAAACTTACCTAATGATTTTAATAACCCAGTTAAAATACAAATAGATTGTTTAATTAAAGCACCGTTTGACCAATGTAAAGTCGAATTTTTACATCCTTGCAAAACCCTTAATAAAATTCTCGGTCCAAATAATGATTGTTCAAATAATGATCGTGAAGCTGATGAGGACGGAATTTGCTGTGAAATGCATAAATGATGCAACCACGTTAATAATCCCCGATTTTTTATCATATCTGTAATAACTTTCGGTATCGAGGCTGCCTGGAATAAGATCTAACGTTAAAAGGAGAAAATTTGTTAAGAAAACATACAATCAATATGCCATTAATACGTGATTTATAATATATTTTCTAAGAATAATAAATTCAAGAGATACCTCAATAACAAGCTTTCGTGTAATATTGTCTGCTAATGGAGAATTATAATAGCCAGATATTATATCCCAAACATATCTTCTTTTAAATATCTTATAATCCTGCAAATATGGTAAAAATGTCAAAAAAAAAAAAAAAAAAAAAAAGAGACTCGAATATTTAAATTTACATCATGAGTTTTTAGTCCAGCAGATAAAAGTCTTAAAATCCAAACTCTTTCTTTTTGAAAATTCTCAGTAGAAGAATGAAATAAATTATAAAACATTGGTATGTCTTCTAAATCCAAAAATGGTCTTTGTAATAAAAATTTATTAATAAGAGGATACATAAAATGTCCCGGGTTTATGAGTATACTTAATGAATGTGCTATGAATATAGCTATTATCGTTGGAATTCTTTGTATATCTTCATCTCCGTCATTGTCACGATTTGTTATTGAATTCTTGAGTGAATTTAAAAGTAAGAGTATTTGACTCTTTTCTCGAAAATTTATGTGCTATTAAAAAAAAAGTATTTGTGTGTGTGCTTGGAAGGTAATTTTGAAAGCAATATTTCACATACCTCTAATAAAACGTAGAATTCATCCAATAGATAATATGCAGCTTTGCGTACATTAGTAATCAAAGATGATGTGGCGACAACAATATAACCCAAAGCATTAATTTCAATGAATTTTCTACAATCCAATAAATTACCATATGATAATAGATTTGCAAATAATGGTAAATAATAAGAAGGATCATAAACAGGTGTGTCTCTCTCAAAAATTGTTATTGAAATGGCATTTTTTTTATCAAATAATAAAAATTCTTTAAGGTTATTATAATTAATTTCCAATTCCTTATCGATTGGAAAACGTGTAAAGCTTCTCATCATAATTATTGGATCAATTAATTCCAATGTTTCAACTAAAATTCGTTGTCCCATAATCAATCCTCTCTTATCTACTTGTTGTTTATTTGGTGATGAACTTGTTCCCCATTTCATTGCAGAGGATACAATTGAAGATTTTGTAGTTTTTTCATATAATATAAAAATATCTAATAATAATTGATCTGATATTGATGTTGTTGCGTTGTAAATTGATAAAAGTGAACTCAAATATGATGTTTTGCAACATTCTTTAGAGTTCATACGATATAAAGTGTGGAGCAAATGACATACTGTTAGTCTCCTTATAAATGATGGAGAATCAATTGATTTACATGACGGTTCTGATGGATTGGCCAAAATTTTAAATTGAGAGTTATTTATTATAGCTTCGATAACCCTATCCAATGAAGGGCCAAAAACATCCTATTAATTAATAAATTTTTATTAAAACTAAACTATATTTTCAAATTTGTTAATTTTATAACATACCTTTTTGTCGTAAGCATATGTGATTAATGAAATGACACAGTTTAAGATTATTGGATCTTCAAATTTCTTTTCCATAAGCACAAAAATAAATTCACCAATAATATTTGCATCCAGATTTGAACATTTTGGTACCACTAGTTTTATTAGCACATCTATTATAAAAAATTATATTAATATATATATATAAACTAAAAATTTTAATGAACCAAATATTACTTACCAATTTTGCTAAAAACTGTTTGTATAACGTTAATACTATATTTCTTATATTCATCTTTTTCGATAAATAATGTTGCATAATGTAAATAATTTGAAATAAATTTCTTTAATTCATCATTATAATAATGAAAATTACCCACAAGGTAACATTCTATTATATGAAGACAATCCAAATTAAATAAATCTGAAGGGGAATTATTTTTTATATCATTATCTAACGTATCAAGAACTTGCTGAGAAGGACTTAAATTCAATAATGCACAAGTTACTAAAGCATAAATCGATGGATTTTCTTGTGCCATTGATTTTGAGATACTTTGAAAGAATTTCAACGCAAACAATTCAGATATTTTATGAATTGATTTCTTATCATTCTCTCTTGCAAATTTTGTCCAATTCACTCGGGAATATTTAAAATCCATATGATTTGTAGAAATGATCTCTAACAATGAATTCACCAAAATTATCATATCCGGACTAGCAATTCTTTCTGATAAATTCTGATGATTTAAAATCCAATTAACAAATAACTTTCTAACTTCCGAGTTGCACAACATGAAATATCCAATGATTTTAGCACGATTGTTATTTAAATTATCCAAAAAATATCGAGCTATTTCCACACATTTACTTGGTAAAGGATGAAAGTTTTGTCGTTCTGAGAAATATGACAAAGAATTATTGTCTTTAGCTATTCCAGGCGGCAAATATTTCTCAATAATTTGTAAAATTATGGAATCCATCTCAATTACATGGCATGAGAAAAATTCCATCAAAATTTCTTCATTAGTTTTTGTGATCAATAAAGCACAGGATAATTTGTTAACTAAATATGAAAGTAATGTTTTATAATGACCAGTGAGATTAACATAATCATTTAATAAAAGATTGTAGAACTTAGATTCTAAAAGGCTCGAGAAAAGCTGAAATATTTCCGCTTCATTCCAAAAATTGTCGAACTTGTAACAAAGTATACACATCTATAAAAATAGCTAATTGTTAAAAATACAATGATTAAATTATTAAGGATAATGAAATTAGAATAATTTCAAAAGTTATTACCTTATTGTATAATAACTTGTTTCCATCTATATGCAAATTGTCTGAATTTGTCATGCATAAGAGTCGATCAAATAACTTACTCTTGAATGGTAGAAGACGACGTAAAGCCTCTACACTACGTGCCTTCCATATTACATTCTCAATATCTTTATTCGTAAAATAAATAACAAGTTCTGCAATAACTAAAATAATAAAAAAAAACGAATATCAATATATTTATTACATCTAAATATTAATTTTAACAAAATATAATGCTTACATTCGTCCAAAATAAAATAATATTTCATAGAGTCAAAATCCAAATTTTGACCTTCAAGTACACTTATCAAGAAGAGAGTCAATAAATCTTTCAATCCTAATATCAAATTTATTATATCATCAAAAATCTTTGATGTGTCATCATCGTCTTCCGTTTCTTCAGTAACTCTTTCAATAATAGTCTTTAAAAGATTTAAGCATGTTTGCAATCCTTGTTTCAAATTATAGCAAGGAACAGATAACAATGTCTTTGTAGCAAACAAAATCTGTCTCGTAGTGTGTAAAATATTTTGTAGAGGTATAGACTGCAAAGATTTATTTAGAAGAACACCAATGTTCTTATCCATCAAATGGGAAGGGAATGAATTGTCAAAAAAAATAGAGAAAGGCGTCAAATCTAACAACTCAATGAGTAAACTTATTTCACTACAATATCAAAATCAATAAATGTTAGAAGCCGATTTCTTCTTATTAAGGCAGAGAAGAAAATTATTTCTATAACTTACCTTTCTTCAGCAGTGTTATGAGTCGAATCACTATCCTTCTTTCCAGAATAAGGTAACAAATAAGCATTAATAGCTTCTTTAATAATTCGAACATTGAACAAACTACCCGAACTTGGATATCGTTCATGAATATATTCCAAAATAGGTTCAAACTTTGCCCATCCTAAAACATTTTTACCGTAACATAAAATCTCCGGTAAATTTCTTTCAAAAATTGGTACAGGTAACACATAAAGCATATCGAGAAATTCAGATCTTGCTTTGTATATATCAGGATTTTTGTCTAATAATGATATAAGTTTAGTTCGAAAATGAAATGTAAAATTCAATAAATCGCATATCCTTTTACCTTTCAATATCTCTAAACAGACTTTCTCGGCTTTCATAAAATTTTGATTGAGATCCCCTTGTTCCACCCCATTTATTATAACCGGGATGTCAATCATTTTATCAACACTTAAAGACCTTTCGGTTGGATTTTTATACTGGCTTGAAATACGTTTCAAGCTTGAAAAGAATTCATCGACTTCCCAATTTCCTATATATTCAAGAAATTCGATATTTTTAAACCTAACATTTCTTTCCAATCGTTCAATATATTCATCTAGATAATATGTGAATAATTGTTTGGTAAATAGGTTTTTGAATAATATATGTAAGAACGATGCGACGGCGGCTTTATTCTCCGTAACACACTCATAGCTTTTTACAAGCGTTACTAATAACGGACTAAATGGATAAGAAGTATTTGAAAATTTTGGACCATCTCGAGAAATCAAGAATTGCTGCACAAAAGCGTTCTCTTTCATTATTCCAGTATCTTCAAAACTTTCCATCCTATCATTTATATCATTGATTACTTGACTTAAATCATCAATATATGTGTCAGGATTTTTAAGAAACGATACAAAACAATTGTCAAAAAATTTCAAAACAGTTGCTTGACCATTGAATTTTTCAACATTTGCATTTTCAGGAAAAATTCGAGGTAAAGAGTCCAGCCAAATCGAAACTTCGTCTGGATCATGTTGGAAAGTTATAGAATTGGAAAGTAACTGTTCAAGTACACGTTGTGTAATAGAACGAATTTGTAAATATGGTGTGGTCAAATACAATTTTAAAAGTCTTTGAAGCTGATTAAATTCTAAATTAATATTGGCTTATTAGTTTTTCCTATTAAAAATATATATATATATATATAATTTTGTAAAAAAATTCACCTGAATTTATTGACCAATTAGATTTAGCAATCAGCAACAATAATTCCATCATATTTAATTGAAGTCCTACTTGTGATTCCTGAAAATCCGTTGGAATCAAATTGTCGACGTTCAACTTTACTTCCATCATCATTTTAGGAAAACAGAGATAATAAAACTTGATTGATTTTAAAACGCATTCATGCATCAGATTATTCCTGATAAGTTCTTCACTATCCTCATTGTCCATCATATTAGATGACAATCCCTTATCCTTTTCCAAAATTTCGTAGTACAAGTTAAGAAGAATTTGAATATCAGGTATTCTATGCTTCATTTCTTCATATAATGAATCAATTGTCAGATTCCATTTCGATGAAACCGCTTCTTTCTTGCTTAGTCCTCTTTGAATAATTCGATCCTCATTAACCAAATTATCTAGGTAATTAATTGCCTTTTTAATTGAATGCACAACTGTGTTCAATTTTTGAAATGCCAAACATAAAACAATCATGGTCTTATATCTGATTAATGAACTGGAAAAATTAAGACATTTTATCAAAGAATCTTGATCAAAAATTCTTGGAAGTATATTGTCCAAGATAGTATTTAACTCTGGAGGATTTTCTGGGTAAATCTGTGTACCGGGGATATAAAATGAAGGAACGGGAAGTGCTATTATCTTATGGAGCATAGTCACATTTGCCAGCCACTTATATGAAAGTTTAGGTTCAAAAGAAATATTCGAAGTTTTCCAATGTCTACGAAATAAATTGATTGAATTAAAGTAGATTGCATAAAAAAAAAGGTATTAAATAGGATTAACTTACGGTTTAACCAATTCTGGGCATGCTTCCAAAATTTTCAACAAAAGATCTTGTTGGCGTAAATCTTGTGTCGGTTTTAATGATTTAGTGAATTGCAATAATATTATGTTATGTACTTTCGTTTGCTTCTCATTTTCATGTTGGTCCGTGTCACCAATTGATGCATTTAAGGATATATTCATATAATTAAATGGATACCATCCCGCATCACGAAAGCAAATACCTACACCGGGTGTACTACAAATTGATAACAAAAATCGATGAACAACATTCGCTACAATTTTGTCAGATTCGTGTTGTTCCGATTCACGCCTATTATAAAGATGTAGGAGCTACGAATTATAAGATTTAATGAATTTTAAGATCTATAAACAAATAACGTTTCATTAACTTTACTTGATTCAAAAGCCAAGTGTTGTTGAAAAATGATAATGTTATCTTTCGGTTGATATCTTTGTCAAGGATTATATGGTCGTAAACTTTTCTCAGCACTTCATCAACGAACTAATTAACCAAGCGAGAATTAATTACTAAAATCTAAAGAACTTCGAATATAAATTACTTACTTCATATGAGTCGTACAATAATCCTTTAAATATCAAACTTGCAAAATCTTTAATCTCTAACACATTTGACTTGATTTTTGCATTTCCATGTACAAAGAATGACAAAATGAACCGAACATATAACGTTCGAATATCTATATGAAAGCAAAGGAAACTTTGAGTTTTATGCTAAATCAATTTAAGTTGACATAAACTAACCAGTTTGTGAGTGATTATATTTTGAATTATCTTTTGATGTATTTCTTCGGATATTCAACAATCTTCCTAGTTCCTAAAAAAAATCCATCAATATATAAATCTAATTAAAAATAATCATAAAGAATAAGAATAAAATCAAAATATACCTTAAGATTAAGATTATAAGTAAATGATTCTAACAACTCTTTTGAAATTGTAGGATCATGGGAATTCATTATAATTAATAACTTTAAAGTATTTTGACATAGAGGTAGTTTTTCGGAAGATAAATTATTCCTAATCACTCTCATGTAATTTCGAATGACGTTACGAATGATAATTGTTCCAGTAGATTTTAAAGAAGGAGTGATTGTTGTAAATTTTATAATTTTTGAAAATAAGTCAGGAATTGATAGTTCTAGTCGTGTTAAATTATCCTATATGAAAAACAACTATAATAAGTGACAATTTCTTTTATAATAATTTAAACAATAAACTTACATGCAACTGCGTATCCCATATTCTAAACAATTCTTTACATTCTGGCGAAATTTGTAAATATTCATAAGCTATTGATACATTTTGATCGTTAATTGAATCGATTTCTTTGATATTTTTATCCTTTGGGTAAATGAAGTGCTGTCTAAATCTATTAATTCCTAAAGGACAAAAAATTGATTCCAGTAATTAAAAATAAATTTCAATGAGTGAATTCAACAAAATGTATAATACCTTGGTATAAAATTTCGTAATTATTAGAATTTAAGAATTCTTGTAAATCTTCGAGAGTTTTAAAAACTTCCCAATTGGCCATAATGAAGAAAGTGAAAATTTTTTTTGATAATCTACGACGACTATTCGGGTGATTGGCTATTAAAATCAGTATCCGATCACGTGATTGGTTTGCCCATAATAACGATTTATACTATATGGGAGGTTTGCTAGGAAAATGGGGCTCTGAGACTAAAAAATTTTTTTGAATAAATTAAAAAATCAAAA